GGAAGAAACTGGAAAAAAATGGAAGAAACTGGAAGGAACTGGAAAAAACTGGAAAAAACTGGAAGTTAAAAGTTCAAGCTCTAAAGAAGAGGCCCTAAATGTACATAAAGTTGAAACTACCAAATGATGGAACTTTTGATCCAAGAGAAACAAGAATTATACAATTTTGCATATTGATGTGCACTATTAGAATTCGGGTTCCTCTTCCTAATGAGGAGAGTCTATTTATACATAACAAGCGAGACCATCAAATCTCCGATTCTTCACCCACACATACTTCCTTGCTTTATGAAATTTGAGTAAAATTATTTTCAATATAATTTATTTGATTATAGGTATAAAATTAAAATATAAAAATTATTTACGAAGTATTTTTCTTCCTTCGTCATAGACCTTTCCAAATGCTCTTTTTGTTTGCCTGGAAAAGATTTCATCATTATCTTTTTCAACATTTAAAATGCAACAATTACCCTTAATTTATTTATTACATCTCACCAACTTCATTTAATATACTCCACTCATTTTCATTAAGGGTATTTTAGTAAATTTTTACCTTTTTCAACTCTCCTTAAAAATTATAAAAGATTAACTTGAGAAGATTTATGGTGGTCGGTGGACGAAAGGAGTGTTTAATAAGTAGATCGAAAGTTCTACATAATAAGAGGTGATATCACTACAATCTTTTATCAAAAAACTAAGGAAAATAAATAAAGAAAATGGTTAAGGTTTGACCGTATAAATAGTAACTAAAATTTTTTAGAGGAATGCTAGGGGTACACCAAATGGTGTACCCCATTTGTACACCAACATTCATAGCCATAGATTTCCTTTTATAATTTTATTTTTTTTCTTTTCTTGCTTTTGTGTGGTGGAGATGGAGGGGGTACAAATGGGGTACAAAAATTGGTGTACCCCTAGCATTTTTGATTTTTTTAATTACGGACGAAGTATTACAGTTCTACCTCTATAATTGAAGATCTTTTGTTACGTGTTAAAACCCTACACTGACGATCAGGCCAAAATTATAGTTGTCCGCATGGAGAGTTCAACTGATCTCACAGGTAAACGTTGAAATAAGAGACCAATGATCGAGTCTCATCAACGGCAGTGTGAGGGTATCTTTTCAAAAAATAAGGGGGCTTCTTGTGCACAATAAGCACTAGTTCCAGCCTTTGTTGCCAGTTGAGTTAGATTTACATCTTTTCAAAATCTCGTTAGGTATGGGGTGAGGCAGGGGCGGATCCAATGCTTTAACTATGGGGGCAGTGGCCCCCAATGAACATATATATAAATATTCTATACAAAGAATAAAATTGGGGTTGATTTTATGGATGCCCCCAGTAAAAAAATTCTTGGTGCCCCCACTAAATTTCCCAATTCTTTATTTCTCAATTTTGGTTAAAAAGACTAAAATAATGCAATGGCTAATGGAAACTTTTGAAACAAAACAATTGATTTACACGGTCCAACTATATTTTATTGTTAGTAAAAAATTTATTTTATGGCCAAAAGCCCAAACTAAATTTCCCAATTCTTTATTTCTCAATTTTGGTTAAAAAGACTAAAATAATGCAATGGCTAATGGAAACTTTTGAAACAAAACAATTGATTTTTTTGTCATTTACTATTGTCATCCCATATTCATCTAGTTTGAAATTTACGAATCAAATTGAACAAACTTTGATTATCAATTAAATTAACTTTGTGTAAGATATTGGTAAAAAAAGAGATTTACTAAGTTTATCTTATCGAAAACTATCACAAATGTATTCTTTGTATTAATATACTACTTTCGTCCCGGAGTATTTGTCTAATTTTGACTTTTGGAAGTCAACTAGTTTTTATCTTGGTCTAGAAATTTTATAATATATTAACTAAATAAAACAATATTTTGAAAATATTGTATGAAATAAATCTAATAAAATCATTTTAATATGAATATCTAATATCAATTTAACTTAATTAATGGTCAAAGCTTGTCAATTTTGATTATAAAAAATCAAAATTGGACGCATAGTCATGGACCAAGGTAGTACAATATAAACTTCGATGGTGCAAACATAAATATAATTAATTTTTAAACTTCGTTCAAATTAATTTTTTTATTCAAACATAAATACTTTAGGCAGAAGAATTACATTCGATGATGCCCCCAGTGATATGTTGTCTTAGATCTAGATCCGCCACTGAGGTGAGGTGAGGAGCGCCTAGAATGAGTGATTTCACCGTTTTGGAAGGCCAAATGTATAGCCAAATAAACCTTGGGCACAATCTCTATCAGAGTCGTTCTTTTTCATCTTTGTCTTTAATCTATTTACTCATACAAATCATTCTCTTCTTGTTTTTGGAGAAGAATGTAAAACTGTAAAGCAAAAGGTGAAGTAGCCGGATACATAACATAATTACGGTCAACTGTTTTTATTTTGAACGGCATAATTACTCATTTTTAATTCAAATAATTGTGTACTGAGTATATAATGATTTCAGTTAGACATGACATCGGTAATGAGGTTGTTAACCGACAAAGTTCAATCCAAACAGACAATTGTCCCTATGCGCACTACTCCGTATTATAATTAGGACTAAAATTTTTATTTTTAAGGGTATATGTGTGGCCATAACAATTAAGTTATTTCTATCCCAAAAGTTGTATCTCAAATTTTACAAAGTTAGGAGTAGGAATTTACTTTTTATTATGTATTACTGTGATGCTAAATTAATAATTCACATAGACACAAAATGTTGGTACACAATTTTTTTTAATTGTTAATGCATAATTTTAGTATACCCTTTGAGATACATTTCATGGAGTACCTCTAGCAAGATTGATGACCATAATGGTCAGGCTCTATATTTTATAGCAAAATGACATTGTACTTGGCCTTAATAATACTAAAAAAAATATGTAAATATATACTTGAAATGCTTTTCTTGGGATTCTCTTAACTTTTCATTTATTTTCCTTCATTGAAAAACATAATATACAAAAATAGACAAAATAGTCTAGCAACTTAAAAAAGGAACACTAGCGTCCATAGTTTTCAGAATCGGACCGGTGACCGAATTGGTCAAAATACTGGTTCACTAGTTCACTGGTCAAACTAGTGGTTCAACTAGTTGAACCGGCTGTTTGAGCATATTTTAAAAATGATATATATATATACACACACACACACACATACATATACATACACACACACACACACTCCCTCATTTAATCAAATATAAATTTCTTTAAATCTCTACATCCGTACATCTCCTCCGTCATGCTGCCCTTCAGGATGGATTCCAAAGTCCACCTTTCCACGATTGTCTACGTGTAGCAATAAGGAAAAGGGCTACACGCTCAGCATTGTAGGTGAGTAAGAAATATCTAACATTTGAATATACACATAGGGGAATCCACTAATTTATAATTATCACATGATATCATGCACACAAGCATATCATATATAACATAAAACGTATTACATAACAATGTTCATCATTAATAAACATCGATATTACCTTCTCGTTACTTTGTTGATCTAACTTAATCTTCTTATTGGCCTCATAACTTATTCTAGGTTAAGGCTTATACTAACTCTGACTTACTTATGAATTCATGACCTTCCCCTTCATAACGAAGGTCAAGCACAAACCAACTCGGGAGCTCCTCGTAGGGCAGGTGAGATCCTTGTCCCCATCGGAACGACAGTTTATAGATCCCCATGCGCACGTTTATAACCGAACAGTCATTGGACCCAGTAGGTACCACATGACTCTAACTACTATTTTCTTATGGCATGACTTGCCACTAACCCATTCAGGTCAATCTAGAGTTCCTCTAGGTATACTATTTTAACCGTACTTACCATTTAGATTTACATAACATATACAGCAGGCATTATATAGCAAAACGTAATCAAACATCACCAAACATGTTAAAACAATGGCGTAGCTATGGGTGTGAACACCCATGCTTACCGTTCTACAACATATAAAGTCTCAGAATAAATCCTTGACACAAAAATAGTTTTGTAACTAAAACAGCAGTTCAGACGGTAACTGTCATCGTACCAGGGTACCAATACGGTACCTGGGTACCGTCCAGGCAGTAGGGTGTACCATCCGTTTGGTACCTGGGCACCGAACAAACATATGTACCGCAAGTGATTATTGGCCTGTGGTGGTAGCACGATACCAGCCTGGGAGTACCGCCTATCGTCTAACATGATAAAATTCCATTTTTGCACCAATTCGAATTTCAGCAATAATCCAACCCAAATTCATATAACTGAATATCAATATATCCATAATTCAATTCCCAATGATAACCAACTGTTGGGTTCTGGAACCCGGGGCCTAGGAGACTAGGCGAAGAGTATCGAACTGAGTCGAGAGTGCACAAGTTGGGAATCAAGTAGATTGTCAGTATTATTGTGCTAATGAGAAGAAAAAATCTCCCCCGCCTTCCCTCCGGGAAGGGTTTATATGCAAACTACAACAGATGGTTCCCGGGCATTGGTCCAGAGTCCAACGGTTCGGGCCCACTACGATTGGGTTGTTTACTGGCGGCGCCTAACCACACCATTATTCCTAGGGCTGCTATACAAAATAGATTACAAATAGGGTGGCTAGAACAACTCTGCCAGAGGTGTGGCAGGGGTCCAATCGTGGGCCCCTTGATCTTGAGTCATTAGGCAGCTCCCATGTCTGGTTCTGGTCTGCTGACGCCTTGGGCCGAGGCCGAGTGCGCGTAATTTGTCTCCCGAAGTTGTAACACCCTAATCCGTCCAGGTCTGCAGCCCCTTTTGGACTAAAGTATTGGTTTGGTAATCGTGATAATTTAAAACATTTCAAACATTTTTATTTATAAATAATATTCCATACATAATTGTAGAGAAATACGGAGTGTTTAAATAAAATGCGGAAGCGACTTTAAAATATGTCTCATAACAACATAATTATTTATTTCATTCAATAATCTACCACGACTGTCTCGCCCCTTCTGCTGCCAGGAATCAGCCAATCATTCATTCTGCCTACCTGCGTGTAGCAAATAAAACACACTACACGCTCAGCGGTGAAGCTGAGTAAGCATATCTAAAGCGTCGAACATCCACATAAATTGAATCTCGATTCATAATCAACCATTTGATANAGTGTTTAAATAAAATGCGGAAGCGACTTTAAAATATGTCTCATAACAACATAATTATTTATTTCATTCAATAATCTACCACGACTGTCTCGCCCCTTCTGCTGCCAGGAATCAGCCAATCATTCATTCTGCCTACCTGCGTGTAGCAAATAAAACACACTACACGCTCAGCGGTGAAGCTGAGTAAGCATATCTAAAGCGTCGAACATCCACATAAATTGAATCTCGATTCATAATCAACCATTTGATATCATGCACAAAATATTCAAACATTCATGATATTCTCAATATTTTATTCCAAGTCATTTGATATTCAATATCTCAACAATGCTCTCAAATTATTCTTAATCTAAGGCCAAATCATTTCATAACAACTCTTAATTATTCCTAGTCTAAGGCAACATTTCTAACCAGGCCCTTAAACTATAAATAGTTTAATGCAGAACACAAGAATCGACAATCCACCCTATGAGTCATGTGGATTACGTACCAACCGAGCAGTGAACTGCCGGGTGGGTGATATCCGTTCTGGATCCCGTACGTACGTTTTAACCCCGAAATATGAATTAGTCAAGGAGGTATATATCTTAGAGTTCTTCTATATATCCTTAATAATCATCGTCATTATACAAGTGGGTATATCTTAGAGTTCTTCTAGATATCCTTAACAATATACATCATTTTCATAATCATCATTATATCCATTTTTAATCATGAACAGGGCGCCGTTTGGTGTGTAGTCCCTGATTGGGACTAATTTTGGTCCTAGTTGGGGTACACTTTTTGTTCCAACTTTCTCCAAATTGAAATCCGATTGAACCGTTGGGGTCAGACAGTCAAACTCTACATAATGATATAATTTTCATTATTTATTGACAAACTTAAGAATTTACTTATTTTTGGGTCCTTCTCAGTAATTAATTAATTATTAATTAATTAATTCCGATAGGCCTATTTTCAGGGCGTTACATTTCTCTCCTCCTTAAAATAATTTCGTCCTCGAAATTACCTGAGTCATTGGTTGAAGAGATTCGGATATTGCATCCTCATTGACTCTTCGGTTTCCCATGTTGCCTCTTCAGTCGAGTGATTCCTCCATAGCACTTTGACTAAGGGTACAGATTTGTTTCTCAATTGTTTGACCTCTCGTGCTAAAATTTGTACAGGTTCTCTTCATAAGTCAATTGTTCGTCAAGAGTTACAATTCCCTTAGTCAAGATATGTGATGGATCGGAACGGTATCTTTTCAACATCGATACATGGAATACGTCATGGATCTTGTTCAGTTCTGGTGGAAGTTCTAACCGATAGGTTACTGGACCCACACGTTCAGTGATTCGATAGGGTCCAATATATCTCGGACTTAGTTTTCCCTTTCTACCGAACCGTAACACTTTCTTCCACGGTGAGACTTTCAGAAACACCTTGTCATCAACATTATATTCGATCTCCCAACGTTTTAAGTCGGCATAAGATTTCTGTCGATCGGAAACCACCTGCAGTCTTTCTCTGATTAGACGAACCTTCTCTTCAGTTTCGCGAACGAGATCAGGTCCTTCAAGCTTTTGCTCGCTTAATTCTGTCCAGCATACTGGGGTTCTACAGTGTCTCCCATACAAGGCTTCGTACGGGGCCATTTGGATACTCGCTTGATAACTGTTGTTATACGCGAACTCCATTAGCGGTAAGTATTGTTCCCAGTTGCTTCCAAAATTAATTACACATGCTCTCATCATATCTTCAAGAATTTGAATTGTCCTTTCAGATTGTCCGTCAGTTTGAGGATGAAATGTTGTACTAAAGTTAAGTTTAGTACCTAAGGCTTTCTGCAAACTCTTCCAGAATTGCGACGTGAATCGCGGGTCACGATCAGAAATGATAGAAAAAGGTACACCATGTAATCTTACGATCTCACGGATGTACAATTCTGCCAATTTCTTCAAAGGCATATCACGTCGAATTGGGATAAAATTAGATGACTTGGTTAATCGGTCAACTATTACCCAAACAGCGTCATTCTTCTTGGCTGATAATGGAAGTCCGATTACGAAGTCCATCTTAATTCATTCCCACTTCCATTCAGGGATAGTAGGTGGATGTAATAACCCACTTGGCACTTGGTGTTCAGCCTTAACTTGTTAACACGTCAGACATCGTGTTGTAAATTCAGAAATTTCTCGCTTCATTGTGGGCCACTAATAAGTCTTCTTCAGATCTTGGAACATTTTATTACTACCAGGATGCATGGTATAAGTGGTTTCGTGAGATTCACGCACTAAACGTTCCCTCACTTTGCCACTAGGAACTACCAAACGATCCTTGTAGAATAAAATTCCATCCTTCACCGTGAAATCTTGTCTCTCCCCCTTAGAGACAAGTTCACAAGTCTTCAAACAGTAATCATCACGTTTTTGTGCAGCATGAATTTCGTTCTCAAGAGTAGGTTGAACTCGGAGTTCGGCTATCATCTTTCGGCTCAATGCGTCAGCAACTACGTTAGCCTTGCCAGGGTGATAGTCAATGTAGCAGTCGTAGTCTTTGATCAATTCCAACCATCTTCTCTGTCTCAGGTTCAATTCTTTTTGAGTTAG